GGGAAGCGGCTTCTGGGCGCGGCGCGCTGCCCTCGTCACTCTCCTTCCAGGACAGGGTCAGCGACCCGGGATTTAGGGCCGACCCGGGGTGCCGGTTCCTTGACGGGGACAGTCGTCCTCACAGCCCCTTGGCTGGCCCTGTCCCAGCGTCCAGGTGTGTCTGCGCTGGTGTATAGTGTTCAAGTCTTTCAAGAGAACAGCTTAAGTAACTACAAACAGTTCTTACTCTGATCACTGTCTTACTCGTCCTTAATATTTAAAGATGAGTAAAAATAAAATGGAAAAGGCAAGTGAAATGACAGGCGCCTTTTCCTTAGTAGTGGTGCAGCGGAGCCTGGGCACAGTGTTCAGGCCCAGCTGCCACTTTCCGAGGGACCCTCGGTGGGTGACTGCACCCCGCTGAGCCTCAGCTTCCTCGTCTGTGAAACGGCCACGAGCTGGTGCCCGGCTCCCAGGGCCGGGGCTGCGATAGGCTTGCAAAGCGCGCGGCAGGCTCCTGGCCCAGGCAGAGGGGCCTCCATCCAAGCTTGGTAACCGCGCGCACCCCCATATCTGCAAGCCAGGGGAACGCACACCTGGAAGACGTTGGTGCACTGAAGTACGCATCTCAGGTTTTCTTTAATGAGCCGCCCTATATTTGGAATATGGTTTGATCGCACAATATTGATGACATGCCGCTTTCAGGAATGTGTGTGTTGCGTTTGGCGAGGGGCATGATATACCGAGGTGTACTCTCTTCTAGCAGTTGTGGCTGCTTTCCCCCCAAAGCCTTTCAGGATTGGCGGCCTGCTCAAGCTTTGCTGACTCCAGTGGCCTCCAGGAACCTTGAGAAGGTCTTAGCCCACTTTGTAGCTGTCCCCATAGAATCAGGTTTTAAAAAAGACAATGCCAGTGAGTTAAATATAAGACATGATCTAAATATAGATTGTGGCAATGAGCAAGAGTCCCTCAACTTTTTTTCTTTTGGAGTAATTTATGTCACTAGTAGGCACGCTCTAAGCCCAAATCGAAGATATAGCTTTATTTTTTTTTTCAATTCTAATAATTTAAATCTGCAATTCTAATAAATAGTAATAAAATGGTTTGATTCGCTGGAACTAAGTAGCTATAATTTATAAGATGTAATTTGTGTAGCAAGAATTCCTTGAAGGTTTGAAATTGTAAATTAATTTTTTTGTTTCTGGTTTTTGCATTTTATTGTTTTGTTGGAGAATAAAAAAGAGGAGAAGCAGAGTTTTAGTTTATCAAATATTATATTAACTCTTTCTTTTGTGGGTTTTTTTAAATGTGTACCCCAGTATCATATGTTATTATGGCAATTCTCATTGCCTTTCTAATTTTCAAAATTTTTTATTATTGGTTGGAGATATTGCTGACTTATAGGTAAATGCCAAGTGGTCAGATAGAATGATCTGAGGCTAGGGATTTTAGACTTTTAATCTGAGCTTTTAATCTCATGACTTTGGGTGAGTCTTTCAACTTTGAATTTTAGTTTCCTCTAGCATTAAACACTACCATTGCCTGTCTGTGTCAGAGGATTTATTGAGTGATTATTAGGAATCTTTTTGCTTTAGCCCTAACTATGGGCACTCTCAGGCAAATGTTTGAGTGCACGGGCAGGATGTTTAAGCCTGGGAGTATACTTCTAGGTCATAGCTGTGCCTAGAATTCTGCGTTTATGAGTTTGCATTTGTTTATGCATCCATTTGAATAATTGTTTTTCAGCTTTATGATCTAACATCCAGCAGTGGCATCATAACCTTTTGTTACCAAGTACATAACTGTTGTAGTTATGGAGAAATGCAGTTAGTTATTGTAGGAATGCAAAACAAAACCAACCAACCAAACAACCCCAAGCCAGCTAATCAATCAGGAAAAAAAATTACCCTAGTGACTAAAAGTGTTGAGCATCTTTTCATGTGCTTACTTGTCAAGTATATGTCGTTTTTGGTAAAGAGACTAATTTTTTTGCTGATTATTATTTTTTTATAATCCTCACCTGAGGATATTTTTTCTGTTGCTTTTCAGAGAGAGTAGAAGGGAGGGGGAGAGAGAGAGAAACATCGATGTGAGAGTGGGGGCCAGAGATCGGGCCTGCAACCGAGGTTCTTGCCCTTGGCTGGAATTGAACCTGGGACCCTTCAGTCTGAAGGCTGATTCTCTAACCACTGAGCCAGCCTGGGTAGGGCTTTGCTGATTTTTTTATTGGGTTGTTTGTTTTAATATGGTTTTGAGAGTTCTTTATATGTTCTTGATATAAGTCCTTTATGAGATATATAATTCACAAATCTTTTCTTTGAGTCTGTGGCTTCTCTTTTCAGCCCTTTAACAGAGTCCTTTGCAGAGCAAAAGTTTTTTATTTTGGTGAAATCCAAACTATCAATTTTTTCTTATATGGGTAGTGCTTTTCGTGTTGTATCTAAGAAAACTTTGTCTTTTCCAGAATCATGGAAATTGGTCCCTAATATTCTAAGATTTTTATAGTTTTATATTTTATACTTTGGTCTTGATTTATTTTGAGTTACTTTTTGTATACACTATGAGGGGTAGGTTGAGGTTTGTGTGATTTTTTTTTTTTTTTGCATATAGATGTTTTGTTATTACAACATAATTTGTTGTAAGAACTACAGTTTCTCCATGAGTTGCACCTTTGTTGAAAATCAGTCGTCCATATTTGTATTGGTCAATTTCTGGACCCCAGTCTATTCCATTGGTCTGTGCGTCTTATCCTTTCACCGATACCACATTGTCTTGATTACTACACATTTTAAAATTGGGTAATATGAATCTTCCAACTTGGTTTTCCTTTTTCGGAATTGATTTTGCAATTCTAGTTTCTTTAACTTTCTAAAATATAAATTTTACAATCAGCTTGTTACATATACAAAGAATACTGTTGGGATTTTGATCAAAATTGCATGAAATCTATAGATCATTTTGGGGAGAAGTGATATTTATAATGCTAATGAGTTTTCTTTGCTCTTTTTCATCAGATTTGTAGTTTTCAGCATACAGATTCTTAATATTTTAATTTTAAATCTTTTACAGACTGAATTATGGAAATGGAAAGTGATGAAGAACAGTGGGAGAAGCTGGATGCGGAATTTGACCACTTTGTGGTAGATATGAAGCCCTTTGTTTTAAAATTACCCCACAGGCCAGGTAAGATTATGTTTGAAAATTAGATTCTTAAGACTGTTTTTTTCTTTATCTTATTTCATCAAACCAATGAACCATCAAAATGGAAATAAAGCTGAATTCTTTTAATACCAATTTTCATCTTAAGCTGATGTAAGATTGTTTACTTTGAGCTGGTCAAGGGTAAAGAGAAACTTAGTGAGAATGTCCTACTAAACCATGGAAAGATTGTGATACCACTTCTTAGGTCATGAGCTGAAAGCACAGGGATCCCTAAAGTTCGCTGTAACTGTCTCTTTCCGCGTCCCTTTCCTCCACCATCGGGAACGTTTCTTCTTTCAGGAGCCTGCTGTCCGTGTGTTCCTTGACCCGTTCACTTGTAAAAGTGGGAAAGAATCTCTCGGTCTTGTCTGCTTTGGGTTGCCTGAAGACAGTCAAGCGTGAATGATTTTTTGTTGCTATCTCATCTCCAGTTTTTGGCCTGTTATCTTTAATTATGGAATGAGATTCTTTGTTTCAAGTCAAAGACTTTTTAAATAACTTAAGGTATATGGAGCAATTGGAAAGAGTTTGGGGGGCTGGGAAGATTCCCTGAGTTATTCTGGGCATAAGATTGGCTGTAAAGATAAATCTCATTGGCAGCTTTTGAGTGGAGGGTTTGGAATAGAGCCAAGAAACCGGCTTTTACTCGGTCCAAGTTTCCCATTTCCCTGAGGTACCTGAGGGGACTCTATATTCAAAATGAGGAACCAAGTCAGTATTAGATATGGGTTCCAGGGAGCCGCACTGGGAGAGGGAGGGAGGGTAGTAGGTGTGTCCTGCATTCTGTGGTCCCCATCGTTCCAGCCTGCCACTTTTCCTAGTCCATGATGGCTTGGCATGGTCTCCCTCCAAGCTACTCCCTCTACTGCTGGCCTATCGGACCGCAACCTCTTCTCTCTCTTCCTCTGCGACTCTTCAAGATGATTTTTTCATATCTCACAGTTCATGATTTTTTTATTTAGTACTTAATGATATTTCCACACTGTCAGTCATCTTTTGATATACACTAGCTTTTTTTTTCTTTTTGTCTTAGATCTGCTGACTGGGAAAAATTTTTATTAAAATCTCCCATTATAAATGTATTTCAAATCAAGTTAGTGTTATTTTTATGTTCTTTTTGAAAATGGATTTTAAGTATAAGAATTGGATTAATTGTAATCTTTAGTTCATGACTCATTGTCAGTATTGGTACATCCCTGGCCTTCTCTTATTTAGTTAATTCGTAATGAACACTTGGGAAATCGCAGCCAATCAAAAATCTGAACATTCATTATAACTTACGTTTTTCTTATAGCTAAATTCTATGCTTGAAATTGGTTTTCCCTGTTATTTTTAGTAAAGGAATGAGTTCTTTTATATTAATCAAATTGCACTGAATTCTAGCCGTTCCAAAATTATATAGGTTTCAGTTTGCTGCTCGGCATATAGAAACAATACATAGCTTGAAAAACTGATTACTTAAGTTTGTCAGTTTCACTTTTGCATTTTCTTTTTGCACAAAGTATGCCCAATATTTCACGAGGTTGCTTTGTGATTATATAATTTTCAAAGCTAAAAATACAAAAGTTCTTTGGAGGCTAGCTCTCATACCTGTAGTGATAAATCCTGTATGAGCAAAGTAGAAAATCCAGCCCCAGCGATTTTTCTAGGTAAAACAATAAATGAATATGACCTTCAGAAACTAAGAGATTAAAGCAGGCTTATGATTTGTGTTAGAAATATAATCCTCAAATTGAGTTAGACTGAGAAAAGATTAGTGTCAAAATAGTTTTCATGAGACCTAAAAACAATTCTGTGTCATGGCAAGATAAGATAGTCAATAGGTCATTATCTGTGGATTAAACTGTGCTGTATTTTTCAGATAGTTTTTAAAAGGATAATTATTTTACAGAATTACATGTAAATAGCCTTCAATTATTTCTAGAGAGGTTAAAAGAAAACCCTAAATAAACCAACTACAAATCCCTGAATATTATCAGCTTTAAAAATAAAACATTTGAGATTTAATTTTAGATTAAGTTCCAAATGCTTCAATAACTAAGACTGCATTTTATCTCTCTTGGTTTATATAATGAGAATTATAGAAAGATTTTTCAACAAAACTACAATTATTTTAGAGATGCTTTTACAGCAAACTTTTCACCTCATCGCTTTATTTGACAGTAATCCTGAGATTTTATTTCTGAGAAAATATTTCTTTGTGTATGTCTTGCCTGATCACGAATTGAGTGGTAAACTCTAGACCAGGGGTTGGCAAATTGTAGCCTCTGGGCCAGATACAGCCGGCTGCCTTTTTGGTAAAGTTTTATTAGAAAACAGCCATGCCCATTGGTTACATGTGGTATGTGGCTGGTTTCATGCTCCAGTGGCAGAGTGGAGCAGCTG